CACAACCTAGTCCACCTAACGTTAAAACCCCGTTTTAACCCTTAATTTCTAATTAAACTAAAATTACTAATAGTTTAGTTTTATTTGTTAAAAGTACAATTAGGTCGTATATTAATACTCACACACACACACACACACACACACACACACCCCACACACACACACTTCTCCGCCTCATTCTGTTTTAATTTACTCGTTCGTTATCTGACCAGCTTCAATCTTGTAGGCTACTCACTTCGTTTCTTGTAGCCCTCGAAAGGGTTTTGGAGGTTGATCCCTCGGTGAACGTGAGTTGTTTGGCTTTCTTGTCCGCAGCAGCAGAAAGCATTTTCGAATGTTTGAATGAATCAAAGTGGGTCGTCACCGTAGATTTTCTCTCATGCTCCAACACACAGTTGCACGGGGTGCAGAATAGTTTCCCCCCACTTTTTGCCCGGTCTTTAGTAGAAATGTTCGTTGGTAAATGAGCTCTATACAGTGTTCATCTTGGTGTTTTCTCTATCGTGTGAGCTCCACACGTTCACTCTATACAGTGTTGTTTACATTCTGTGATGCGCGAGCTGATGAACTCACGTCAAGACGAGTGAACTTTTTTTTCTTCTCAACTTTGTGGAAAAATGCGGGGATTATGCGGCCTTTTGATAAATATGCGGCCTTTTAAAAAATCTGCGCCATTTTGCTGATTATGCGGTAAATTCTGCGATCGCAGAATCGCGTTTTTCTGGAGGGTCTAACTAACTGGTAACTACAACAAAATGCTAGGGCACCCCCTCCTTATGGGAGATAGCGGCTGCTCAAGGTTGGTCAGCTGCGTCAGAGGGCGAAGGAGGACAGGGCAAATTATTCCCCAACAAGGGTCACGTATCACGAAAAAAAAAAATACACTAAACTATAAACCCATCTGGCTAAGTAGTGTCTTTAGACATCTGTCTCTTATGATTGGTGCACCAGTGCCAACACACATTAGTGGACATTTACCAGGATGCTTTGCAGTATCCTGAAGTCATCTATATCTAAGTTGGTAGCTCTCGAGATGAACTTAAGCATCTCCTGACTCTTTTTCCCTCTCTTAAAATAACATTAAAACACTTTATTTACAGTGGCATGTGTACAAAGGCACAATCCTCTTGTAGTTTTGAGCTTTTTCTGAATGAGTAATGATGTAGAAAGTCACTTATTTATATAAAATATCCGGATTGGGCACAACAGTGATTAATTTACTTGATTATTGATTTTGTATCCTTTTTGTTTTGCTCACTACAGTAAAAAAATATATAACAGACGGACTTCATTACAATTGGGTTGTTCTACAGTCTTCAGAACAGAAATGTCTTCTCTACAGGGACAGCATTCCCAGTATGTAGGGAAAAGGTCGGCATGGAGCAGGAAGTGTGGATAGTTTTGTTTGTTTTTGTTCCTTCGTCTCTACAGGTGAGTGTCCTCCTCGCCGGCGATGTCCTCCTTCAGCAGGTTGTCTATGGGGACGATCCAGCTGTCGTTGAACTCTCCGCTCAGCGCCATCTTCTTCTCCTGCATCTCCGGATGAATCTCCATCACCTCCAGCGTCGGGTTATCGTGGTATCCGTTCTCCACCGTGTGCAACTCCTCCGTCAGGTGCTGCTGTAGAGATCAAAGAGGAAGAAGTCTTCAAAAAAAAGCTGTGTATAATTACTTTAAATAAGTGTAAAGTCCATGTATTGACATTTCTACCTTTCAGAGTTGCATTTAATTTTATTTTCATGAAAAAACCTGCTTTTTAAGGGAGAATTTTGTTGAGAAAGTATGTAAAAAATAACAGATTCAAATGTTATCAGCTGATTGAATGAGCGTTGTTATCAGTCTTTTAGGTTTAAAGGGGCATCTTATAGCTACTATTAGGTTCAGAAGGCCGTTAATATCTATTCACATGGTTGATCAGAAATACAAGAAGACAACGTTAACCTCTTATGGACATAGTAATCATGATAGTGGCACTGGAGGAAATGATGTGCAGTGGTATTTAAAGTCCATATAGGGAGAAGGTGATCGGGCTTTTTTGGGTCAAACAGACTTACACCTGTTAATGTCCTGTTTGTAACCAAAACTAAAAGCATCAAGGTATTTTACATTACTGACCTTGCGTACGAAAATGATATACCGTCCCCATCCATAATCTTTTCCTAAACCCTAAAGTGTTTGCGTAGTTTCCATTCACAACATTAATAGTGGCTGTTTTTTTCCATCTTGAGCACCAGATTTGTATTGTTTACAGCTGATAATGGGTTGATAACAATAATAACTCATGGTATGGGTGAGTGTGCAGTTGGCTCCACGTTTTCTAACATGTTTAGTGACTCTACTCATATGACCTCAGCATGGATAAACAACATATATAATAGGCGCTTTCACACCGGAGTACTTTTCCCAGTATAGTTCCGATATACTTCCGAAAATGTGCGTTCACACCAACAAAAATCCGTAACTAGAACTTAGTTCATGAGAACCTTTTCACCCCCTTTTCAGCCCCTGCTAGAGAGCAGGCACTTTCATGGGAGAAAAACGTTCCCATTTCTGATTGGCTGGGCGGATTGCAAACCACGCCCCGTAAAACTCAACAAAAAATTGTGAAGCCGCCATTTTTTTATCCTTGCATTAGCATTATTGCTAGCATTAGCATTAGACCAGCACACCAACGCAGAGAGACTAATTTATGGCAACACAAAAGAAAACATGGGAGCGTTGGAGTGATGAGGAGGTGTCGGCGTTCTTGCGATTTACTCGGAAGGCTTCAGTAGAAGCTACTGGGAGTCCTAAAGTAGGGACTTGCCAACCCTCCCGATTTCCATTGCCCTCTCCCGGTTTCCTCCCGGGATCCTATTTCTCCCGCGATTTCTGACTAAATCTGATTTACTCACGACTGTTTCCACTCGGACTTTAATACAGCTACACCATTGTTTGGTTTCCATGGTAGCGCGTCTCTTTAGTAGCGCGCGCAACTGAAAGTCTGAGAGGGTGTTCAGCATGGTGAGGAAGATAGTCACAGAAAACCGAACAAGAATCGACAACTCTACCCTCTGCTCACAGCTTTCCTGTAAAAAAACAGGTCCAGCCCACACATATGCTCCATCAAGGATGGTGCTACAGGCAGGGGCGCCGCCAGGGATTTTGGGCCCCATGAAAAGATATCACATTGGTTAATTAAACATTTTTTTCTTAATGTTCTAAAATAGTTTGGGCCCCGTCAGTCACGGAATCGTCCTAACTTTTCACCCCCTTACGGCGCCCCTGGCTACAGGCAGCACTTACAATAAGCATGTTAATGTTAATCGAACAGCTCCGGCGATCAAGTTGGCAAGTACTGGATAGTAAAGAGGAACATTTAGTTTTACCTCCAGAAGGCAGGCAGGAGTTGTGAGCCTCTGAAGGGTCATCCCCAAAATAAAAAAATAGTAAAGAAGTCTCTCTTCTATACGTAGCACTTAGAAAGGTTTGCCTTACATGTAAGCAAATACAGAAGCAAATAATGTGGTTTGGCTTGTAGATAGCTAATGTACCTGCAGGATTTAATGGTTGAATGCACTTTTTTTGAGTCTCATTGAATAAAAATATCGGCTTTATGTTATTGAATGTAATGAAACTTGCTCCACCTACCTGGTTCTCGTTGTACGGCTTGCGACGGCGTGACTTACAAACGGCGAGGATGAGGATCATGATGAGCAGAGCTCCACAGGACGCCAGGATGGCTATCAGAGTTTTGTTATCTGTTGGTTTCTGCAAGTAGAAATACAGATAATTACTTATTTTCACAATGATACACTTTGAACTACTCGTCCTGCAATTATCAGCAAAATATGAACCCTTACCTTGGTGATGTCTTCATAGTACTGGTTTGCAAGTTTTGTAATCGCTGTAAGACACATTTTCAGTATGGATTAGAAATCAGTTTACATTTAATCTGACCTGACAAATGTGAATTTTCTTATAGGAGGAAGTTGCTTTACCTATGCCGGTTATCTTCACATCGTCTAACTGTAATCTGTTGTTTTTGTGGTGCCATTTCAGCGTGCAGTTTCCATCTTGCAAATTCACCATCAGCCACTTGCACACCTGCACCAGTTCTTTTTCCTCGTGTTTCTGAAGGTAAGATGATACGTCTGTAAACTTCTCTGTACACAGTCCCATATTTCATTTGCACGTGTTTTCTGAGCTCATAAGTCATCGCTAAGCCTGACCATACAGACAGTTTGGGCAGGAAGGTCAAAGGTGACAGTTGAGGTCATATCTTCATGTGTGGAGTATTTCTGGTGTGTTATGGGACAGCGCAGCTGCATAAGCAGGCAGAGAGAGAGGGTGAGTATATAAAAGAGAGAGGTGTGGGAACGAAGGAAATCAGTGAAAGGCAGGAAGGGTTCCCACTAAGACACTTTTTCCACCCAGTGACTGGAATCTTTTTTTAATTTGATATCGAGCATCACTGCTTCCTGTTCTGTCCAGGAGCCTCAGCAGAGGAAATAAACATGTTTCTTTCCACAAAGCTTTGAACATTTTAGTGTGTTAACTTTATTATAATAAGATAAGATTTAGAGAATGGAAACGATGCATTGTTGGTGTGTTAGCAGGAGGGCAGGGTTATAGAAAGGAGACACATGCTAGTACTCCTTCCACCCTTCTTAATTAAGCTGTATAAAAACATAAAGGTCATTTTTTGACTTTAAATGAACAAAACAAAGAGTCTACATTAGCTCCGTGAGGCTGTTCAATGGGGCTTAAAGCTAAATGCTAACGTTAGCATGCTAAAATGCCCAAGTGAAACTTAGTTTTTCAGTCACCATGTTGTTTTGACTGTTAACAATCTTATTATGAAACCGTATGGCAGTGCATAATTTCCTTTTTACGATATGAATACATTTCAATACAAATGCATGCAGCAAATACATGAAAAAAGCCATAGCACCCTAACAAGCTAACGTTAGCATGCTAACATGCTTACATTGACGTGTGTTAAACGTCTGGTGTTTACACGGTCATGTTCGCCATGCTGTATGACGGTTAACAATTTAAGGCACAGTATATCAGTGCATCATTTAACTGTAATGTTTTCTTACTATAACGTTTAACACAAGTCAGTAAGCCTACATGTAGGCCAGGCCTATTCAACTGGCGGCCCGCGGGCCAGATGCGGCCCAGAACCAACTCCCGAGTGGCCCAGCCTCCCGTAGCCACATTCCTACACTAGTACAGACCATGAACGCAACACTCCGCGTTGCATAGAAACCACCAAACCACAACGCAGCACGTTTTTTGAAAGTGCATCTAGTGGTGCTAGTAACGGTGGTCCTATGATAGCAACTCTAAAACATGTCTCTCTCAACTCTGAAGCGTAAACAGAGACAAAACGGTCATTGATCTTGTGGAGCAGATCCAAGTCAAGCTGGACCTTTTCGCGACCGACTTGAGCACGGGTCGGATGCTGCATTTTCCGACGCTCCCCAAACACATCACATCTCCGTCACAAATCACGGATGTGATGACAGATTTCATTGCGAGGTTGAAAGAGAACTTTGCCGGTCGATTGGATGGACTTGCTCTGCCCACAGAGGTGATGATGGGCTTTGCCAGAGACCCCTTCACTGTTGCAATAGAGGGGGAAGTATCAACCAGAGCAAAGGAAGTGGTCCCCTGCATCGACAAGGGGAAATATACACTGGAACTTATTGACATGCAGCGCACTAACGGGCCAGCAAAGTTTTGGAGTGATGTCAAAAAAGAGCAGTTCCCTAACGTTCAGAAAGTAGCGATCTGTGTGCTCAGTATGTTTGGATCAACATACACATGTGAATCAAGCTTTTCACACATGAACTCAATCAAAAGTAGCACTCGCTGCTCCCTGACTGACAGCACTCTTCACCAATGTCTTAGGATTGCATTGACATCGTATGAGCCAAAAATCACTGCTCTTGTTCAAAACAAAAAATGTCCCTTCTCCCATTGCGAAAGTCAGCGATGACAAATCACAAATGAGGTGATAGTAAGCACCTAGTTTACTATAGTAGACGTGTAGTAGTATTCATTCATATAGTTACCCGTATCCCTTGTTATGGGTTTGTGCACTGAAGGGTTTGACAGTTCTTTCTGTATTCATTTAAATGCACTTTGTAATGTGTCTGGGTCAAATGTGACCAAAACGTATGATTTTTTTTGTTTGTTAATAGTATTGCTACAGTACTACCTCTTTGTGTTGCATTGGAGCTCTTTAGCTCTTTTTGACATACCTTTGTTAGATGAACAATGAATAAAAATTGCATGTTTTTCATCGCAGTAATATGTGTTTGTTTAAAATTTGTCACCACCCGCTTTTTACAGGCCACTGAATGTCTGGCCCAGCTGAATTTTGTAGTTATAAAATCTGGCCCAACTGAATGTGTAGTTGAATAGCCCTGCTGTACTGTATGAAAACATATTTTGCAGTAATGATTTGTTATTATTATTGGGGAGCCCTTGACTTTCCTCGAGCGCCATCATTAGGTGAAATGATCATCATGAGCATGCATACATTATTTATAGAGGCTCAAAGCACAACTGTGTGTAATTACAGAGATGCTAGCGTGGCATAGACTCTTGGTCTTGTTGTGCAGCTAAAGATAGAGAGAGAAAGCACGCCTATACCATCAATAATTGAATCTGAGCTATTTTTGGAGTATGGACGGAATAGAATGCTACTATCAGGTTCTGTGTTGTCTCGTTGGCTGGGAGCCAGCACTGGGGCCCCATGAGTTCCTGCTTGGGTGACGCCATTGTTAGTTTTGCAGAAACAGGCACAGTTTATTTTATTATATAGTGGCAGATGTGGGATTCAAATGTTTAGAGGATAACTGAAATAACTGAAACGTTGACTTTAATTAGATTAGTTGAAAGCAATAATATTAAGTTTAACCTATTTAAACTGAATATTATTGCTTTCAACTAACCTAATACAGTTATGTGAAATATGTTGACATTATACATCTAACTAAAGTCAACATTTCAGTTGCCTTTCAATTCCATGCTTTCAATGGATAATTATGTTTCTAGACTACATGGCAACACTATTACAGGACATAAATCTGTGTCTTTGTGGGGTTTTTCTATAGCATGTTGGAAACAGGGCTGCACACTGCAGTGACACTCACCTTGAGCGGTGAAGGTCACAGAAGAGGAGAGTTAATGACCAACACATAGGGCAACATTAATGAGCACTTCACAAGTGATTTTTAAATTCCATTATAGGCTGTCTTCCCACTCCTGTACGAGCTGTCAGGAGGCTGTATACCCTCCGTCTGTGCATGTGTGACTTTGTCTCTGGAAACTATACACTACATGCTGCTATGTGTTCATGGGGGGATGGGAGGTAGATGCTCCATTTTAACAATACAAAAAAACATCTTTGATGATTTTTGTCTCATTACTGTACAATATAGCCCTATTGTGTTCTGGGAAAGTGTCTAATGTGTCAGCTGAGTTATCCAGTGAAGTTTAATGCAGCATTTATTGGGTAGTACCTGGCAGTGGCTCAGTCAGTAGGGGCTTGGACTGTGAGCCGTAGGGTCGCCGGTTCAAGTCCCCGACCAGCTACTTGGAGAGGTCCCAGTTCAACTCCTGCCATGCCGTGGTGCCCTTGAGCAAGGCACCGGACATTTCCCTTTCCCCCTCACTCCCATTGCTCCCCGGGCGCTGTACAATAGCTGCCCACTGCTCCTAGTACTAGACTCCTGGTACTAGGATGGGTTAAAAGCAGAGAACACATTTCACTGTGTGTGCTGTGTGCTCTGCATGTGTGACCATTAAAGAGGGTTTCATCCCTCCGATCTTAAGAGCTTCCACAACAGAGGAATCTTTCATAGCCCATTAGGTCTGTTGCACCATCCACTCTTAGTTAACCCTGCTTACCTTTAAACAAGTTATGGTCCTTACACACCGAGCCGATTTTCGAATAAGTATGTATTCATACTTTTAAAGTACAAGTAAAACTTGAAACTTGCAAATCAGACTATGAATTCATAGTTTTCCAAGATCGTAATTAAAGTGAGAAGTAAAGCCACTTTCTCATAGACTTCTACACAATCTGACTACTTTTTACCATTACATTATCAGGGTTGACTGAAAGCTCCTCTAGAGTCAAGGAAGTCATTATACAACACGCTGAGTTGTACTAACAATGATAAGCAAACCTGATGTGTAAAATCAATAGCACTTTAATGGTATTTCTTCCAGACCTCCATTCAAATGCTCTAAGACAGGCCTGTCCATGAGAGTTTGGGGCAAAGACTGCATCTCTACGACTGTATATCATCATTTGTGCCATACTTGAAGTAGGAGGGATCTCTTCATAATGATTGATATAGTGTTATAGTCTAACACCTTGCCTTGACTACATGTATTGCCCTTCCAGTATTTGATGTGATATACGTAAGTGGGATATCCCCCCCAGCTGTCAACAGTGACTTCACAGAGCCTTTAACCAAGCAAGGTATAACTGGTTGGTGGTTGCTAAAGCTATGACTACTGACAGGAAAGCACTCAGAGATTACCCATGGTTCCCTCAGAGTTACACACACACTTTCTGTGTGGGATTGGTTCCTTCCCTTTGTTCTGTTGCTCTGGTACTAAATTGTTGTTGGGTGTAATGTTAATTTACTATGCATTTAAAGCTCATATGAGACTATTAATGGCTGGGTTGAATCAGTAATATAAATTCCCCAATCATTTTCCATTTGCTGAAGTTGAAATGACCCCTCTGAAGGGATGTGGCTGTCCAGACTTGTGGGTTCTGTTAAGGATGTTGTTTTCCTCACGACTATTGATGCATGCAAATTCCATCGGTGTTGTCAGGACTGTAGGCTTAAAGGATGCCCCTGGCAAAAAAAGGCTTTAGGAAGTTTGGGGCTGTATCCAGGGACCATGGGAACAGCAGAGATGGAAACGGAACACGGACAAAAGCGGATTTTCTTTTCTGTAATTCAGCATTTACTTACCTTCTGACACAGAACGGAAAAAGGAGCCGGCTGAAACATTTTCTGTAACGCGGTGGAAGTTGGAGTTATTGTTCTGCTCGTTCATGTCTGTATCGCAGCCCCGGATCCGAATTCCCATCTCCATGGGAACCATTATGTGGGGCAATTGGCAGCTGAGCACTTTAGAAATCTCCTTGGAATAT